AGGAGACGTTAATTTCCCACACACGAGATTACTGTGTGATGGATGTCCTCCCCTGGGGTGGGATGGGTGGGTTAGGACAGCAGGTCCACATCAGCTATTACAGCTGCCAAATTAATCAACCTGCTTAAAAAAATGAATGAACTTCAACTACTTCATCCTCTAAATGTGCTTTTGAAACTGAAACCAAAAAAAAATGAGTACTGGTTCAGTGGAGTCATTTTGTGTGGAGTAAAGTGCAGTTTTATGCGAAAAAAAGCTGATGAAGTGTCGATCGTGTTACTTTCCTCGACTTCAGTAGTGTCTAAAGCAAAAAAAAGGTATCCAAGCAAAGCAGAAGGCTGGTTTTGTATCATACTTTGGCAGAAAGTTTAAAAAAAGGTTGGATTTAAAGTGTAATTTGTTCGTAACGATAGAGGTGAGTCAGAGCCATTAAAAAAATTGGAAAGTATTTCAATAAAAATCCTATACATGCAATTTTCGCTACTCTATCTAAAAAAAAGAATTATTACGTGTTACACATATATTTGACAACGTACAATATCAAAAAATCTGGAAAAAAAATTTTTGAAAAGATAAGTTTTCAATAAGCTTTTAAAGGAGTCAACAGATTCGGCAAAAAAAATGCATTCAGGTAGTTGATTCCACAAATACTTAGCTTTGCGCCGACATGTGGCGAAAAAAAAGGTTGGAAATTATTTGCATTGGTAAGGATTTTGCTGTTTCTGTCACCTTCCTGAAAAAAAGCACCTTTTGAAACGGGCTATTCAAGGCTACTTGTAAATAGAAGAATAGAAGAAAAAAAAAAGTACATAAGAACGTATAATTATTACCTCCGACTCACTTAAAATTTTTCTTTGCAAAAAAACTTTGTGTTAACAAGCGATTTAAGATCTCTATTACAAGTTTTCAGTACGTTTGCTAGAAACTGTAATTTAAATAACTACCTTTTTTATTAATTTGCCCAACGGCTGTACTTGTCGACACGAAACGTTTGCAATCGTGGGATGTGGCTAAGTTTTACTTCTTTCGACACTGGAGCAAAAAAAAACTTGTCAGACAGGTATCGCTTATCAATGAAATCTAACATATTACTGAAACTGGCAAAAAAATTTATTGATTAACCCCTGTGCAACTAACCCCTTCCCTTTAAAAAAATACTTGTACTGGACTATCCCTTCCCATATTACAAGTTAATGACAACCTTTTGGTCATTCCTCGTGACGTAAAAAAAGGGCATTGACAGCTGATCTCATCTTTTCAACTTTTTCCTGAATATTTTTGATAAAAAAAAATGACTTGAAATACTTGTAATCCTTTGCCTTTGGCATTTCTAACTTGGGAGATTTAAAAAAACTATCATCACCATCGTTGTCATCATCGTCATCATCATCATCATCATCATCATCAAAAAAAACTCCACCATCATCTCCATCAATACCTGACAATAATCCTTTATTCCATGCCTCAGAAAAAAACTGAATATCAGAAATCAGGTTGGGGAGACATACGATGCATCCAAGACTGTTGCCAAAAAAATCAGACATGCACAGAGTATGAAAGGTGTGGCCACAGGACAGACGCTGGATAGATAAAAAAAATGGATTATGACATGCTTCTGCAACACTGAAGGCTGTGGTCTGGAGGAAGGCCAAAAAAAAGCCAAAGGTAACGATTTGGTACTGAATTCCTTCTGAAAACTTGCTAGGTAGTATGGTGCTTTGCCGTAAGGCTGTCCAGCTCTCTTCAGTGGCCTTGGCAACATGTAAGATTTGCCTAGATTCAGTGCTACTCTCTCAAACATGGCCAGGATTCCCTCAGATGCCAAACCTGTTGATTACACAGGTCAAGTGCAAAAAT